AACGGCTACGATCCATTGTTATATCTTTCACTGCCACTCATTCTTATTTGATCCTAATCGTGCATTCTATAGCGTTGTGGCATTTTGGTAAAATCGCGAACTTTTAAATGTGTAGGCGGTGACACTTCTATAAATTTATAAAAATACGATGGTATTTTTAATGTGCATATAATATTGTGCATTTAACTTAACACTATTATATAATTACTAATTATAAAATAGATTTGACCCATGAACTAAATTTGTAACATATTGAAATTTCTTAAATTGCAGCTAAACACCTGATACTTATCAAATTCACAAAAGGGGGACTCTTCCCTCTTCTCCTCCCCCGACCACCCCCTCCTCAACCGCAACAACCTCCCGCCTCCACCCCTCCCGACTTCCCCGTCGTCGCCCGACAGCCGCGGGCGCGCGACGTGCTAGGCGCAAGCGTGCGCGGGTGACCTCGGGCGTGTAGAGCACAGACGGGTCTTCGTTCGTGGCGAGTATGCGGTGCTGCTTCAAGCCTCGACTTTCTCTCTTGCACCACTTAGACAGTTCGGATGATGGCTCAGACGGCTCGTCAATGGCTCGGGTGGCTCGTCGATGGCTCGGACGGCTCGTTTTCCCAAGCTTAGCAAGATGGACCTACTCAACACTAAAAAGACAAGAAAATACGCCGACCCACAAAAGCACTCAACGAAAGCGAAAATACATAAAATACGATAAAATGAAGCGGTCGAGATTAAAACGAACCTAGAAAGACTCGACTAAAGTACGAAAAACACGACAAAAACACAACAAACATATATTGACTTGAGAGTCGGAGAATTGAGAATCCTTTCTGGCTCCTCGTTTGCATGTGATTGACTTTAACTCAAATGGTCAAAGTACTCTTGTTGAGGTATATCCCAAACTTAAACCAAAATACTTTGGAAAAAGGATGGACAACAGAGTACACCAGACAATTGATATTGGAGTTGTTAGTGTATCGTTTTCCTTTTGAATAGTGTTTGGAGGGACCATTTAAATTGTGCGTCTTATAAATTGATCTTATGAAATTGACGCTTGTGGCAATTTTCCTTTCGAATTAAAAAAAAAAAAAAATAGAAACGAAAACAAATGACGCTTTTGGTAGTGTGAAGGTGCATTTCAATATTGTGTAACTAGTACGTACCCGTGCGATGCACGGGAACAATATTATAAATAGACATCAAGTTTGAGTCGTTCAATGGCGTAAGTGGAAACTACTATTGATCCTATTTAAAAAGAGAAAAAAATTTATAAATTAAAGAGGAGGATAAACAATACTTAATAATTATAAATTAAAGATTCGGGGTCAAACAATGTAAAATTATTTTGTATAAGGGAATATAAAAAAAATTTGATTACACACCATTTTAAAATTATTATTATATTTTTTTGTATGGTTAGCTTATAATATTTGTAAAAATATTAGTAATTAGACCGATGAAAATTACCTTCTTAAAGTAGATAATGAATTTCTAGTAGTAATTATGACTTGGTTTCTATTATATTTTATTTTTTCAAATCTGTATGGATAAGGGATGAGATTTTTTAAACACGTAAGACGTATGCAATGAGATTTTGTAACTCGTGTAGATTTATACTAAAAATAGGAAAAAGAAAAATAAATATTTATTGTCAAAACGGTTTTGATAAACTAAAAAACAGGAAAAAGAGAAATAAATCTTTACACAATTAATGAGCCGATTTTTTTGCCTATTCAGATTTGTCCAACAATTACTATATGTAGAATATATTTAATGATTTTGGCGGAAAAATATTGCTAAATTTGTAAAAAAGTTATTCTTTTTATATAATGATAGATATGTGCATTTGATTTAGTCAAATTAACGGTGATCAAGATTTTTGGTTGAACGGTAACCAATTACGAAATGGGTCAATCTATAATGGTGCCAATGATTTAAAATCCAGACCTGCGATTGCCTGGGCTGGCCTCTAGATTACCGGATAAAAAAAGAATATATATATTTTTTTTCACTATTTGTATCATATGCCTATAAATAAAAATACCGAATATATATAATTTATATATAAATTTTATACCTTAAAGTCAAAATAATGTTTTATCTTGTTTTAAGCATTCACCACATACTCCGGTTAATACCGAGGTCGGGCCGAATTTGACGGAGTCCCTTGTTCCCCAATCAAAGGACCCACTTTAATCTCACATTTATAAAGGATTATTGTCTTAAGCTTCCTTAATCATAAAAAACTCAATCTATTAGAATAAAAAACAAATAGTCCATAAATCAACCGGATATCTTTTATTTTGAAAATAATATTCTAGAGACCTTAAGGGTGTGATTGTTTATCAACCCAATTCAAAAAAAACCAATCAAAACTCAAATTTAACTCAACTTTAACCCAACTCCACTATCTCCATTATTACCAATATAATTAATTAATATCAACTAATCATTCTTACACATCACATCAATTTTAATTCACTATTCATCCACTCACATAATTTTAACTAACCACTACTTCCAATCATTTTTCTCTTACTTTTACATCATATCAACTTTAATTATTTTATTTTAAATGTTATTTTAATATATCCACTAACAACTAACCATACTAACTTTTTTTAAAAGTAACTATAGTTAAAAAAAACCCAATTAATTTCTAGATGAATTGATAAACAATCACCCTCTAAATTTCCGGCTAGTTTAATTTATAAGATAATTGCATAATTCTGGCCATGTCATAGTCAAATTAAACGAGCTAATTTTGAATGTCAAATCAGTAATAAAAACTAAGTACAAGTACTCTTCGTACTATAAGTCAATATATATAATCACTGCAGGTTGAATTATGGCTTTTTAGGATCTAATTAGATTATTAGCGGGTGATAAGTAAGATTGTTAGTTGTGCTGTACCATCGGCATGTTGGTCCATGAAATGAAACACATTTTTTTTATATACGAAAATTGGCCACTGCTTGATTTGTTTTATATACGGACAACTAATTGCCGAGTCGATATGCAATTTGGCTTGATCCACTAACTATTTGAGACATACTAATATTATTGGTGTAAATGGGAATTTTATATTTTATGATGGGAAATATTAAATATTGATGTCCAAAATTTATTTAATCTTCGTATTTTGTATCACGAGTTTCAACTAAATTAATTTTGGTGCTCTAAGTTCATTTAGTAATCACATTTGGTATTTTTTTAATTGTTGATTGATGTTGAAACTGATGNGGCTTTTTCCCTATTATGAACCAAGAGAGATTTTTTTTTAAGAAAAAAAAAAGCATTTGTAACATTGTGAGGTTACAGGACTAATGTTATTACACTTATATAAGCTAATGAAATACATAGTTTTACAATTTTAATTCTAACTGTAATTAATACTAGTCCGAATTTGGTGCGATGCACGAGTAAGAGATATACATTAATATTTATAAAATTGAAATATTTATTAAATAATTTATAAATTAAAAATATGGAATAAATATGTAATGAAGTTACTTATATCATTTATTAAAAATATTATATGAAATTTAAAGTGTGCAAAATTACATAAACATGTCTATTTAAAATCAGTATACAACTTGTACGGTGGACATAACTGATAATAAATTAAGTTACATTTATTTTATAATAAGTATCATTTTAAAATTTTTATTGACAAATTTGATATGACTACAATGTGATTCCATAAAATAATTATTTTGGTAAAATTTTATCATATAAAATCTATGAGAATAATAAGTATACTTATAAAACTTATATTGTTTCATTATTAAAATGAATTTATTTTTGTATAAACTATTCATATTAAATAATTTAAGTAGTTGAGTAATTTATTAAATTATAAATAAATGACTATTTCATTTACGTCTAAGTTAATATTCACCCGCAGATTGGAGCAATTTCTGGCGTAAACAGGAAGCCACAACGTTGGCTTTCCGGCAACCGGGAACCGACGGGCAACTAATGTTATTCGCATTGCAACTAGGTGATGTGTGCGAGACCAAGTTTTTTTGGGGACGTTGATAAATTTTTCTATTTTGATCTTTATTTACTATTTTCCATAGAATTTTTTAATGCTTAAACTTTTGTTTCGAAACATGATTTTTGCGATGAAAGTGTGTTATTCGCATTGCAAATAGGTGATATGTGCGAGAACAAATTTTTTCGGGGACGTTGATAAATATTTCTATTTTGGTCTTTATTTATTTTTTTCTATAGAATTTTTTAATGCTTAAATTTTTATTTCGAAACATGGTTTTTGCGACGAAAGTATGTTATTCGCATTGCAAATAGGTGATGTGTGCGAGACCCAGTTTTTTTGGGGACGTTGATAAATTTTTCTATTTTGGTCTTTATTTACTATTTTCCATAAAATTTTTTAATGCTTAAACTTCTCTTTCAAAATATGGTTTTTGCGATGAAAGTATGTTATTCGCATTGCAAATAGGTGATGTGTGCGAGACCAAGTTTTTTCGGAGACGTTGATAAATTTTTCTATTTTGGTCTTTATTTACTGTTTTTCATAGAATTTTTTAATGTTTAAACTTTTGTTTCGAAACATGATTTTTGTGATGAAAGTGTGTTATTCGCATTGCAAATAGGTGATATGTGATAGAATGAATTATCCATTATTGCTAGTTCTTTCAATTATCCACTATTAGCTAATTATCTGTTATCAAGTGCTAAACAGGGCCTACATCTCCTTATAAAAGCCATTAAAAGAAAAACCCAATGAAATATGCTATCTAACGCAAGTGATGTCATTATCATCTACTAGGTCAAATTCTAAGAATGAATTATTGGTGCAAATAAATTATAAGTTCTTTCATTTTCTCTATAATTACACTTTTTTTTTAAAAAAAAAAAGTTAATTACCACTAAAACAATCACCAAGAAACAATTAATGAAAAGCTTATCCAAATGCATGGCTGAGGTGAGGTCATAGAGATGATCAACAGATGAAGTGGGATCAAGCTAAAAGACTGCATTGACCTATAAACTAACTCAATCACTAGAAGTCAATAGCATATTTACATGCCTAAGCATATGCCCTTTCTAGCTATAAAAGCACGAGTTTGTCCAACACTTTAGAAACATAAGGCAAGAAAAAAANTTCTTATTAAATCATAATTGACTACTCTTACTTTTTCTTAAGCCTAATGGGAACATCAAATTTAGTCTTAGTACTTTTTGTACTTTTGGTACTTTTAGCAAGATCAACTCACATGATCAATGCAAGGGCACCTAATAATCAAGTTTATGATCAATTGAACATGAGGGCTGATCAATTGTGTGGGCACACAACATACCCAACTCTGTGTGTACAAACCTTGACAAGATTAAGGTTTGGGAATCAAAATATTGATTACTTGTCTGCACTTGTTAACAATACAATCTCTGAGACCATGTTGCCTGATTCCTACTTTGAGAGCTTGAGTTCCGATTCAGTCTCGCCAGACGTTCAACTCGCACGAGCGTCTATCGGTAAAAAGCTCTCATCTAGTTCACCTTTTTACTTATTCCCCCGCCGGTAACTTTTTCGAATATATATATATATATATATATATATATATATATATATATATATAGGGCCATATGCTATGTTTGTATAGTTACGAAAAAAAATTATGCGCGAATATCCATTTGAGTGATAACCGTACGTCGGTCCACCTTATTTAAGAATATTTCTATGATGCGATTGTTCGTTCTTGAATAAAAAAGTACGTACGTACTTTCATGGTGAAATGACGTATTGAAAGAGAACGATTGAGTTGTATTATTATTTTTAAAATATGACATTTCACTGTTTAACTTAATCACTTTCATATGATTGATTGGTTTTTAGCTTTTCTTTTCATATTCAAGTCCGAAATTTTTCCGACAAATTAACCTTTTTTTCTTTCTTGTCTTGTGAAAAAACGTACAGTCGATTGTCACGAACTCGTGAAAATGTCGTTCAAGAGACTCAACCAAGCTCTGCAGTCGCTTCGAAAATCTCCCGAAGCCTACAAGGCCGACATCCAAACATTCCTTAGCGCATCTATAACGTTCCAACAAACATGCAAGGACAAAATAAAGGACCATGCTCCAACTAATGTTTACTTAGAAAAAATCATCAAGAAAATGGACCATCTTTCAGCGCTATGCAGCAACTCGTTGGCCCTCGTGAACCGAGTCACAAAAAGCCCGGCAACTACAAGCAAGCGCCAACGGGAAGGTTTTCCCGGTTGGCTTTCGACTAGAAACAGGAGATTGCTACAGAGTACCGAAATAAAGGCTAATGTCGTCGTGTCGAAAGATGGAACAGGGGATTTTAAGACGGTCTCTGAAGCCATCAGAGCCGCGACAGGTGGACGTTTTGTGATACATGTGAAATCGGGGGTTTACAGCGAGTCAATTAATACGGACAAAGATGGGATCACGTTGATCGGTGATGGGAAGTATTCGACTATCATCACTGCTGGCGGTAGTGTGGGCGGTGGGTCTTCCCTACGAGGATCTGCAACTTTTAGTGAGTTCCTCAGTCTCACTTTTTTACAGAAATTAATAACTACATGTTGACAATATGGTATTTGAAAAAATATGCAAAGATAAATATGATACCAACTAAAAAAGTTCATTGTATTTTTTAAGTAGTTAGACAATGAATATGATATTATTTACTTTCCTTGTATAAAAAGTTGGCATTACTATGAAATCAATTGCTGGCTTATTAGGAAAACTACATGTCATATAATTATCATATTCTACACTCCATTTTATGTGGCAGTAGCTGACACGACACGATTACACATGATTTACACTGCCTGACATGACCCAAAACAATGAGAAAAACACGAAGTCTCATACTTTTTAAGATTTTAAAAATCCTAACTTATTTAACTTTTAAACTATTTAAGACTTTTAAAAGTCTCGGGACATTCGTTTGACATGTTAAAAAGTCTTGAGATATTTAACTTTTTTGAAACAGTGATTTGTTGAGATTTCTTATGTATATAAATCTAATTTTAAATCTCACATCTAGACATCAGATTTCCTGGTCTATATTCCTCTCCAAATCAGAAAATCATAAAAGTTTTAAATCTGAATGTCACTCAAAATCTCAAACGAAAGTTCTGAAATCTCAAAAAAGTTTTAACATACTACTCAAAATCTCAAACGAATACACCCTCCTCCTTAGTTGAGTCTCGACTTATTATCGTACTATCTATCAGCAATCACCGGCGATGGCTTCATCGCCCGGGACATCGGCTTCCAGAACACGGCCGGCGCCTCCGGCCACCAGGCGGTGGCGCTGACAGTCGCCTCCGACCACGCCGTCCTCTTCCGGTGCAGCATCGCCGGCTACCAGGACACACTCTACGCCCACTCCCTCCGCCAGTTCTACCGCGACTGCGACATCCACGGCACCGTCGACTTCATCTTCGGCAACGCCGCCGCCGTCTTCCAGAGCTGCTCCCTCGTCCTCCGCCGCCCTCGCGCCGGCGCCGGCTTCAACGCCGTCCTCGCCAACGGGCGGACCGACCCGGGCCAGAACACGGGCTTCTCGGTCCAGAACTCGAGGATCACAGTCGGGCCCGACTTCGAGCCCGTCAAGGGCTCGTTCGCCTCCTACTTGGGCCGGCCATGGAAGGCCTACTCGCGGGCCGTGGTCATGCAATCAAACATTGATGGTGAGATCTCGGCCCGCGGGTGGGTCGAGTGGGGCGGGGCGGGCGGGTCAACCTACAAGACTTTGTATTTCGCGGAGTACGGGAATGTGGGGCCCGGGTCGGGGACTTCGGGCCGGGTCGATTGGGCGGGCTTTCACGTGATCGGGGCGGCGGAGGCGAAGAAGTTTACGGTGGGGGAGTTTATAGCCGGGAATTCGTGGCTGCCGTCGACTGGGGTCACTTATGTTTCGGGCCTGTAGCAGGCCCGGGATTGATGTTGAGAATGTAATTGGTAAGAAGGTGTTGATGAATTTGGGTTTGGATGGCTGTGTTTAATGTGTATGTAGCAGTGATTGGTTGTAGTTGTATGGTATTAGTCCGCTTTGTAATAAATTAGTTGTTTGGGATTGGAGAAAAGATGCGTAGTTAGTACAGTGTGTCGATAGATATTGACAAGTGTCATTTCGCAATGTAGATATTGGATCATCTCCGATTTGATGTAACGATAATGAATATGCTCAATTTGTTTATCATGAATCTAAAAGAAAAAATGAAAGAAATGTGCAGTTCATTGCGGTATTATTAGGTTGAAAATTACAGTTATCTTTTTTGATAATAAACTTTGCATTGAAGCAATTATTTAATACATCCCGAAAAAAAAAGGGAGAATAAAAATAGGAAGGGATAATAAACTTTGATTTTGTAAAAATAATAATTTGTCTAAAAAATCCTTACTTTGACATATTTTTAATGACAAATTTGTAATCATACTGAATATATCAATATAAAAGGGTTCTAATCTAAACTTATAGTTAAAACACAAAGACTCTAATTATATAATAAAATAATAAAAACTTGCTTTTGGCCGTGTGGTGTATGATTTCTATGCTCATTAGGACTTGATCAATGTTAATTTGGTTTCTTAATAGTTAAACTTATATTTTTGTAATATAATCATGCCAAGATAGTTTCTTTTAAACATGCTCAAAAGCAAAAGCAACCAAAAAAAACAATATCTATCTAGGCTTGTAAGATAATAATAATAATAAAAAAAAAAGAAATTTATTCTATTTAATTTACATTTCAATTGATAATTTATGTATACTTGGACTAACACCATGCCAACTATTATTATTATTATTATTATTATTATTATTATTATTATTATTATTATTATTATTAT